CCTTCTTTAGAATCAAAGGTAGCATGGCTCTGAGTATCAATTGGGGCAACAGTGGTGGGACCTATTGCTCTTGTGTATTGCTTATGGGATTCTCAGAAGTACGGTCTATGTAGTTGATCTGTAGGAAACAAGATGCTGGACTACATAGGCATTTGGTCTTATCAGGACTGTGCTGCTTTTAACATTCTTAATATGTTATCTACTGCTGATCAAATAACATCACTAAACCATCCAGTAAAAAAAATTGTGTCAGAACTCATCATTCCAAAGAAACCCTTTCTTTAGACGAAGTATGTTTTGAACCTATCCAAATGAAATGCTTCCATCATTTGTTGTTTTGTGCCTTCAAGTTGTTTTTGACTTATGGTGACTGTAGGGTGGAGTTCGTTGGCAAGATTTGTTCAGGGAAGTGTTATCTCTGCCTTCCTTGGAGACTGAGAGGGTCTGACTTGGCCAAGGTCACCCAGTGCCTTTTCATGAACATGCAGCAATTGAACCTTCCGTATCCAAAGTTGTATTCCAGTGGTCAAGCACTACACCGTGCTGGCTCACCTTCAATCAAATAGCATGCAGCAATTATGACTAGGACAAAATATAATTATACATGTCATATTCATACACACTCTGAAAGTGGAGTGTTGTTCCTAACATAATAAATAATCCACCCAAAGGGCCCCCTGGTGGCACAGCGGGTTAAACCACTGAGCTGCTGAACTTGCTGATCGAAAGGTTAGAAGTTGGAATCCGAGGAGTGACATGAGCTCCTGCTGTTAGCCCCTGCTTCTGGCAACCTAGCAATCCAAAAACATGCAAATGTGAGTAGATCAATAGGTACCACTCCGACAGGAAGGTAGCTCTCCATGCAGTCATGCCAGCCACATGACCTTGGAAATATCTACAGACAACGCCGGCTCTTTGGCTTAGAAATGGAGATGAGCACCACACCCCAGAGTCAGACATGACTGGACTTAATGTCAAGGGGAAACCTTTACCTTTACCTTTTTATTCTGCTCAACATCTCCCACCATTTCTGTGAACCTTTACATTCTCTGTAGCCTTTGAATTTTCCTCTTGCTTGGCAACTTGCATGTGGAAGCCCTCGTCACAGAGCTCTGTTGCTGCTCACCATATCCGTCTTCTCTTTTATAAACTATCTTTGCAATAAAAAGCCACTTTGCAGGCCACTTACTATTTGTTTTGAAAATGATGTCATAAATGGAATAGCAATAATTTCTTCTCTTTGGGCAGAAATAGAAATTAATGTCCATCCTTTCTGCTTCAATACTTCAACACCGAGTGATCCTGCAAGGCCTCATGTATTTTGTCCCATTATATCCACTGAAAATATATGAAGTAACTTTCTTCTGGGCCAGACAATATGCCAGTCTAGCCCAATCTTGTGTGCACAGGCCACAGGACAAAAAAGTAATATTTTTCTTCGTGGTCTCTGCGAATGCACACTTGTGGAGAATCTGCGCCTGCGCGGGCTCCAACGGAAAACTTCTACTTTTGAAACTTTTAAAGTTTTGGCGGTAACCCCGCCCAGCCCCGGCAGGGGATAAAAGGGCGCCCCGCGGCGCCGCTCCAATTCCTTTCTTTCCGCCGCACGGAAATAATAATAATAATAATAATAATAATAATAATAATAATAGCTTTATTTATACCCTGCTAGCATCTCCCCAAGGGACTCGGAGTGGCTTACATGAGGCCAAGCCCAAAAACACATCAAAACAACAAGCAATAATAAAATAACAACAATAACCAAAATAAACAGTACAATCAATATAACTTGATTCTGAGTGGCAAAACTGCCCAAGGTTTCTGTCAGATGAGTCTTTCACTGCATCTGGTATGTGATCCTTATAGCAGTTATGAAGCCTAGCACCTTCTCTATTTTATTGTGCAATAAAACCATAATTTTCACCTGCATTTTCTTTCCTGCTTTAATTCATTTGCTTGGAAAAATGGATCTAGTGTCACTTGGTCTTGAAAATGTGTTCTGTTTTTTTTTTCTGACTGGGTTGTGCTACTGTTCTCTTTGGTATTTTTTTATTAGCTAATGTCCATGCAGCCTTTCTTTTGGACCTTAGTAAAATAATCTTAGTATTTGGATCTAATGTTTCTAACCTCACTTTGATTACTGAAAGGTTTGCCACAAGCAATTGACTCTTGCTCCTGTGTGGCTTTGTATCACAATTAACCTTGTGTTTCTTCAGAGGCCCCACCTTGAATAAAAGGGATGTTAGCACTCTTCAGAGATCAAAAAAGGAGCAGGAGGGAGAGAATATCTGATTGGATATTTGCTTTGTATATAATAGTTGCATTTTCTCTCTACACTACAACAATTTTGTAATGAAACTCTGCAAAGTGTATGAGATCTAGAGCTCTTCAGCAGGAACTAATTGCCTTGTTGAGCAGATTCCCGTGCTGGAGGCATGAAAATTATGTTTAGCTTTCTTGACTGCAAATGTAATGCCCTGAAGCCAAATCAAATTAATACACAGGGAAGACTTACTTAGTGGTTTCCTGCAGTAAATAGAAATCCTCATTTTATGTCCCGTGGTACTTCATTCCTTAACTGTGGTTTTGCATCCAAGCCAAATGAGATGCTTACTTTTTAATTTATTACATTAAAGACAAGAATAGATTACGATTATGCCATTTTCTCTCTCCAAAAAAATAAAAAAGACTCAACGCAGCTTACTGTAAAACCAATACAATTTAAGACCTGAAAAAGATAAAAACATTAAAAAATTAAATACTAACTGGACTAAAAAAATCCCGTTAAAACCCTTAACACTGATTAAAAACCTGTTCTTAAAAACCAACTCCTTTAAAAGCCTGCCTGAATAAAAAGATTTTAGCGTGCCATCAGAAGGACAGCAGGGAGAGGGTCAATCTGGCTTCCCTGGGAGGGAGGGAGTTCCAGTATTGGGGGGCAGCCATTGAGAAAGAAGGCCCGCTCTCTCATTCCCACCAACCGAAGCATTGGTAGGAACAGTGGTGTTCATGTTCTGTATATTTCTCCGATGTATGTTGTAAATAGATTGTAAGGTGCAACTCTGATAAAATGTCTGTGCTCTGTTGTCAGCTTCTTGAGCTGTATGTGTCCTCTGTAATAAGTCATGGTCTTCATCCTACAAAAGTGAAGCTGTCATTTGGTAGTTCTTGGGCTGTTCAGCTAGAATCTAGCATCCAAATGATGGATATCAGACTGTTCATTTAATGTTGAGATTTTAAGACCATTATTTTAACCCCCAGCCATCCTTGTTAGATGGATAGCTAATTATGAGATACACTGTGGCAACATCTGGAGGGATTCATGATTTCTCCCCTTGATTTTGTCTCAACAAACACCACTTGAAGATCTGACCAACGAAACCTTCCCATGCCTGATGTAGGGACACAAAATCCAACTAAGAAGGGGTATAATGGGCTTTAACACATAATCTGTGTGTTTTAAATGGAAAATGTTTGTGTAAGGATTTTGGTTTGAAGTATTAGAACTTTCCAAATTCATGCTATATGGATGACCAACACATAAACTAGGTAAGCCACCTAATCCAAGAAGAGATTCTAGCAAACAGCAGCTATTTATGTTCAGTTTTTCATGATCAAATGGGGAAAAATTGCAAGTGTGGTAGGTTTTCTCTGATAAAAAAATATTAAGCTATAAGAGGTAGGTGGATTATAGGATGTGGAAGTAAAGGTTTCCCCTTGACATTAAGCCTAGTCAAGTCCAACTTGGGGGTGGTGCTCATCTCCATTTCTACACCAAATAGATGGCATTGTCCGTAGACACCTCGTAGGTCATGTGGCTGGCATGACTGCATAGAGCGCTGTTACCTTCCCTCCGAAGCAGTACCTATGCATCTACTTAAATTTGCATGCTTTTGAACTGCTAGGTTGGCAGAAGCTGGCACTAACAGCAGGAGCTTGCCCTGTCTCGCGGATTCAAACTGCCGACCTTCCAGTCAGCAAGTTCTTGCCACTTAGCGGTTTAACCAACTGCACCACTGCATCCCATTATACGATGTAATTATTGTGAGCCTTTTTTTCCCTCAATTCGTACAACTTCAATTGAGTTCTTGTATTAAAATGGTAGTACCTATATTTCAGGGGAAAGAACTGGTAAAACCATATCTGAGTATTCCTTGCCTAAGAAAACCCAATGAAATTGACAGGGTCACCATAATTTGATAGGCAACTTAAAGGCACAAGCACACAGAAAACATTGCAATGATTCATGAGGTATCCTTGGTTTCAGAAGTTAAATGTAATGGTGGAAATGCAAAGCTGTTTTTCAAAATTCTTTTTACCAAAGTTAAGGTGTATATTATAACTCATGTCAGTCTAGGGTGGGGGGCCACAGCATTGTAACTTAATTTCAGTGGAGACCAAAAATGAATGCTCTAAAGCAGGGGTCCTCAAACTAAGGCCCGGGGCCGGATACAACCCTCCAAGGTCATTTACCCGGCCCTCGCTCAGGGTCAACCTAAGTCTGAAATGACTTGAAAGCACACAACAACAACAACAACAACAACAACAACAATCCTATCTCATCAGCCAAAAGCAGGCCCACACTTCTTATTGAAATACTAACAAGTTTATATTTGGTAAAATTGCTCTTCATTTTAATTATATTGTTTTTAAGTGTTTTGTGCACAGATAAGATATGTGCAGTGTGATAGGAATTCATTCATGTTTTTTTTTTTAAATTATAATCCGGCCCTCCAACGGTATGAGGGACTGTGGCCTGGCCCTTTGTTTAAAAAGTTTGTGGAGCCCTGCTCTAAAGATTGCAACCAAGTTGCTAGTCTTTACTAAGAGTTGTCAGTGCAGTCTGTTATAGCTGTTTGCTGATCTATTGTCTGCTTAGATTTAAATGGTGAATTATGTTTCCCAACCCACCAGTTCCTTGGCACTGGTATACTCATTCCAGAAGCATATTGTCCTCACTGAATCTGCTAAACCAGCATTTATTGCTTTTCTGTTCATAGGTATCCAGCCATCAGCTGACAATGCTCTAAATCACAGCCAGACACTGAGATGCCACGTCCCTGCCAGCAGCATCAACCTGGAATATGAAGAAGATATGCAATGCATGATGGGACCTTTGTGTCCTAGATAATGTCACAGTGTTTGGAGAGAAAAAGCACGGCACGGAACACATTTCCCTAAAACACTGAAGAAGCAAAGAACAGAAAACTGTGGGCATTAATCCTGTAAAATATTGGAGATGGTCTAATACACATGTTCCCCCAGAAGGCCACACTTACGCCCTGACCCAGCATTTTAAATAACCAGCTCATGTTCCCCATGTGGTGATGTTCACTGTTAAACTGAATTCACTGTAGGAATGCCTGAATGAGCTGAAATGGATTTGATGACTGAAGCCTCCATAAACATCAGTTTATGTTTCCCACTATCACCTGGTCATTTTGGCATTCTCTTTCCTGTGCTGATTGCTATGGGTGGTGATCCTCACAACCCACCTCTCCCTTTTAGCTATGAATTAATGCTGGGTCACCTACTGCAGGTCTCAACAGGTGCATGTTGAACATGTGCCAGTAATATGTAATGTATGAAGAGGACAAAGTCACACTTCCCAGCCTATGCATTAGCACGGTTCCTTGTCCCCATCCTCACACAACAGAAAGAAGTCAGTTGCCATCACTTTTTGTCTGCACCCAAGTAAGGAGATGACTGTTTCCCTACACATTTTAACCCCGGAATTAATTGTCTGTTCACTCTGCTGGAACAGAGGCTCCAGGCCACAAGTAAGGGGCCCATTTGGGCAATGGAGTGTCTGCTCAGAAAGGTCCTACAAGACCTCGGCTGTTGTAAATTGTAGGGCGCTAACAATGGAGGGCAGAACACCACCCTATGGAGGTGACATGGTCCACGGGACAAAGGATGTCCCTTTCGAAAAAAAGGAGCATCTAGCAGCTTAGAGGACGGAAGAGAAACAAGCCAGCCCGCCCTCAGAAATTTGAAAGGGATTCCTTGTGTGGATATTCACAATCCCATACACACCTTGCTTCAGGGATTTTGTTTTGTATCAGTCAGGCCCCATCAGGAGTGAAAATAAAGCTAGCCATGCATGAGGGACTGGCTGGGGAAGGAAAATGGTACCAAGTAGCAAATTGCAGCAGCATGACTGAATGCACTATTGTTTGTAAAAATAATAATAATTAAGGCACACAGTCTTTTGAACTCTGTGCATGATATTATTTAAATTGCGGTTTTCATCTATAAAAACTCTTTAAAGAACATCATTCATTATGTGTTTATTTAATTGTCCTGTTAGGTTGGTTTGTGATTAGTATATGATGGTCATGTTAAAGTTCCCAACATTTTAGCAAGCAGTCCCAGTAGTAAAAAAGAATGTCTTGGATTATAAACCACTTGTTGTAATGCTCTTCATCTTTATGTTGTACTGTCCACCTCCTTCTCCTCTCAGGTTAGTTCCTGGCAATTTAGTTCTCTTGGAACTTCCTGTTTGGGAATGTCTGCACTAAAACCAGCTGATTTGTCATTCTTGAACTACGATTGCTGAAGGATTTCAGGAAACTTTAACATAAATGCTATTTTTGCTGTTGCATCTATTGAGGCTGGCATGGCAAGCCAAATCCCTTTCTGGTCCAGTAAGCTTAGGTTGCCTTTTTAACAGCTAGGACTGACTTATATTCACCTTTCAGTCCTTTAGTTCTGACCTGTTATAAAATAAACATAAGCTTATAAGAGTATAGCCAAGCAATAATCTGTAGCCATGCTTTTAAAAGAAAATTCAACATGGAGGCTTCACTCAAAGAACTTGCAGTAGTGGTTTTGGAGAGCTTCATTTTATCTTGAACCGTCCCTCCTACCTCCTAGGGGATTAGTAGCTGTCCTATTGGTAATCAACTTCTGCAAGATAAGACGTCTTTGAGCATACAGAGTTCCCAAATCTTTCTACATAGTCTTTGAGTCCTCCAGAGAAAGAGGGGAGGTCACACTTGGCCTTGCTGTGCATAAATTGGCTCCCATCTTCAATGGCAAAGACTTCCTCTCAGGTCTCCTTTCTTTGTCTGGTCAAACAAGAACAATTGTATGCATTGTGCCTCAGTACATGGCCTTAGGACTACCACCTCTTCAGACTGCTCCAATTTTCCTTGGAATGGAAGGAAGGAATTCTCAAGACTATTGGATACGTACAATTGACTGCAGAATATCAATAGTGCTTTAAAAACTGATCTGAAAGAAGCATTACCTCTCTCATATATTTCTTTTATCACTCCCAGTTGATTCTGCTTGCAAGAGACAAAGACAAACATTTACATACCTTCTGCTGTGAAACAACAAGTGACTCTGGCTTTATTTTAACTAACTGGCCAACATGGTAAACTGAAAAAGAAACAGACCTCAAACACAACCTTCAACATGCCAACAGTATCACCGAGGAGCACTTGACATGGAGTTGTTGGAAATCGTTGTGTTGTCCATTGAGTCTTCACATTGTTTTGTGAGAATGATGAGCAATTCATTCATTTTTCCTGGTTCACCTCTCTGTGAAAGCACCTGTTCTAGGATAAAGGGCATTTTCTCAAGTTTACCTCAGCATTTCTAGCAAGTGGAACTATCCGTAGATGTTCACATATAGCATCTCTTCTGAGGAGGCTTGCAACCGAAAGTAGCTTTGACAAGAACAGGTTTGGCCCTATTGGATTATGTTTGTGTGTCTTATGTGTTTTACTCAGTTCTCCAAAATTTCCTGATGGAACTAGACTTTTTTAAATTGTACCAGGGATTTTTCAGAATATTGGGATTGAAGAAATATTTCCACCAAGGCCATGCAAAATGTATAGCTCTACTTGTATTCCCCGCCCCCTGCCTTCTGCAGCAAAGTTCCAAGCATACCAGAGCTTTTGTTTCTAAATAAAAATAAATGTCCAGATACAAAATGGTGCACATCGGCTAGTGCAAGAGGGAAGGGAGGTGGCTTGGGGCCCATTTGCAATGGCAGTCAGACTTCACTGGTGGGCACAGGCCACGGCATGGGGGTACAGTGAGCCCTAGATACACTTGTATACACCTCAGTGGCAACAATGCAATATATATTTATGACTGCATGACTCTTAAAGAGTGAATAAAGTTGTTTACAAGGGATAGATGGTTTCTGACTGGAATTGTCTCTGTGTGCTAATGTTTAATTTAGTTGTGGGACTGCCATTAACCTCTCATTACTGTTCTGATGGAAAATAACTGTTCTTATGCATTTTGATGAGCAGCAGTATCTTGGATTCTTCAAATGATCTTTTGGGAATATTTGAAGTGTTTGGAACTACAATCATACAACCTCTGGAGAGCTGTGGTTCCCCACCCCTGTGCTAAATCATGCCATGCTAAATTCCTCAGCATCCTTTAATTTGTCAAATCAAGAAATTCTGTGTAACGCACCCAGGCCTAAACATTAAAAGGGGAAAGAAAGGGACCAGAGTTTGGAAAGGCTTTTTTGTGGAGCAGGGGGTACACGACCAGAGGGAGGCAGTGTAGTGAAGTGGTTTGAGTGTTGCACTAAGGCAGGGTCTACATTGCCCTATATCCCAGGATCTTATCCCAAATTATCTGCTTTGAACTGAATTATGTAAGATTATACTGCCATATAATCTGGAATAATCAGATCATCTTGGATCAGATCCTGATATATAGGCCAGTGTAGAAGGGGCCTTAGGCTCTAGAAGACCAGAGTTTGACTCTCAGCCACAGAAACCTACTGAGTGACCTTGGGCAAGTCATATTCTCTCAGCCAGAAGAGGGCAGCGGCATGCCTTGTAATAAGCAAATCTATGACAAGATCACCATATTCACAGAATTTTGAAACTTCTTTTTCATTGATCACACACTCTTTGGATAACACTTTAGATAACATAACAAAAACCTTGTGGTGTTTTGTTTTTGCTGTCTGTGCCTCTATTCAGAAGATTTCACCTCACTTTCTGTCCGTGATAATTGAATTTTGAAAAAAATGGCTTGTTATGAAAGCAAGGATTGGTGATAAGACTTTAGTGGAAATGCCTTTTCCCCATGATAACCCTGTCAGACATGGATTCCTCTTCCAAGGGTTAGATTTTTTAACTATGAGCCATTTGTACGTCAGATGTTTGTAACTCAGGGACCATTAAGAAAGGATTAATCTATTTTAAATAATGATTACTTTCTGAATTTGCAAAATGTGCTTTCATAAAGTGTAGGAATTGTGGTTGTGTATTCAATCCATGGTACCTAGCATTTGGGTTTATGGTGTGATGGGCAACTTGTTGCCTGTTGTTAAACTGTAGTATTAGTCATCCTTTACCATTGGTTATGCTGGGCTAGGACGGATGGGAGTTGCACCTCAGCAACTTATTGTACATCCTTATGTTAGGAAGTAGAGCTGTCTGATGAAGTGGGGTGGAGCCTCCCCAAGATACTACAAGTAAATACAGAAGAGCAGACAGTTAACATCTCTGGGCCAGTAGATGTCAAAGGTACTTTTCCATCACGTCAGAACTCAAAACTAAATGAAACCTAGAACATACAGCTGGAGGCAGGCATACTACCAGTGCCAAGCAGCACGTTTGTTACAATGTCCTCCACAATTTTGTGTATAACATCAACAGGAAAAAGTGGAAGCAAGTGAGCAATACTCATGCTCAGGCGTACTGAGACAGAATATAAAAACCAATTTCATAGCAAAGCAGCTATGAATTTCATATCTGTGTCTGTCAGATAGTTTTCCCTGTTTGTTATACCTGTCTGCAGATGGACAATTAATGCACAATAAATGATAAGTCATGTAAAAAAATGCATACTGATCTACGTGTTTTGGGGGATTTTTTTTTAATTAACAGATATGGGGACTTCTTTTCCTCCTTTATGGCCACAAGCCAAGAGTTATGTTATCTGTGAGCTGCAGTGAGGCTTTAACATCAGGAGATGGCATACAAGAGCCAAATGCAACTATTATCTCAGAAAAGGGGAAGTTGAGCCTATATGATGCAGCAATTACACAAGCGAATCTTCTATTTATAAATTTAAAGGGATGTGGAGATCTCTTTAAGTCCTATATTCAGATATAGCCGCCTGGGAACCTTGGTAAGAACTCAAAAATGACCGCCTAAATTTGAATGCAACTGTCCAAACTAGTAGTTCTTTTCAAAAAACAGACATACACACTGGAATTTGAGCTTCATTCATGTGATCTTACAATTGATTCTTGAAATTTAATTTCAATTCGGATTGAAACTGAAAAGCCCAAAATGACTCTTTTCACTGGGGGGGGGGGGGCTGTTACAGGGTTCTTTACTTCTTTCATATCAGCAATGTATTAGTATCTTCTTTCAGACTTTTTTTTTCAATTTGTACATCTTTGTATATCTTTTTTAATTATATGTTCTAGTCCTTGGTTTTTTCCCCTAGTTCGGCCAAATTATCCTATAAAATATAACTTTTCTACTGTCTCCAAAATCTCATTACTGGCTTAACTTTAGGTATTCAACTCAGGCTGGAGAATTGTCAAGATCCTTCTGCCTGTTTTCACTATATCTTCATTCTTCAAACAGCTTTAACAGACATTTCACACTTTAGTAATGATTGTTGTGAATTCCAAAACCATATTTACTCAAACCTAACGCTCACATTTTTTTGGCTAAATTACATAACTAAAAGGTGTGCATTAGATTTGATAGCATGTTAGAACTGCACTCCTAAACTTGCCTGCGTCCATCCAACAGAGGGGCATGGTCTCCCAATTGGTCTTGTTCACAGGGTCTTCAAAACCTTCTCTTAGTAGGAAAACTGTCACCCATCTACCAGGCTGAGACTGGCAACTTCTATAGTCTCAGCCTGGTGGAGTGGCTGACAGGCAAAGGGGGAGTTGTGTGTTACATTCAAAAACACATTTTTTTCCCAATGCACACCTTCAGAATTGAGGTGCTCATTACAATCAATGGCACATTATACTCGAATAAATATGGGTCCATTCCCTTTATTAGATTAAAATATTTATTAATAATGCATTGTCCAAAATACAATGACTACAGAATACAGTGACTACAATGTATAACTAAAATGTGAGTTTTTAAAAAATGAAGTTCTGAGTAGCTTTCTGCCGTGTGTCTCAAGAGTGATTTATATATCTAATAATCATATTGACTGCTCCCTAGGGCTGATGAGAATTGCAAGCTTGGGAAGGCCACATCCTATTTTGAAGCCAAGTCCCACTTTCAACAGTAAGTTCTTTTCCCCTTTGA